AAAGGAAAAGCAGCACAGCAGCTACTGTATTACAGTCACGAGCCCTTGATGCCATGCTAACTCCTTAGCAGACAGCAAAGCCCAGTATCGAAATGAAATGACAGCAGTAGCCGCCTTCCCACATCATTTCAATCGTCATACAACCTCAGCCCTCACGCTCCCCGTCGTTTATACGTGCATATCATTACCCTGCACACATCACTACTGTAGCAGTGATATATTTTTTATATATTATTATTTCAATCCTATCAAAGAGAAAAACGTTAAATGTCAGATGCACTGCTATGATTAAGGATGTATAAAATTTATGAGAGTTATTTGGGTGTTAAATGTTATGAGAGTTAATTGGGTGGTAGACACGTTTCTTCTAAATACTCATAATTTTATTTCAGACATGGAACTTTTGTTTGTTATTTGGGATCTGTTTATGGCTGGAACCGAAACGACGTCAACAACCATGCGTTGGGCGATGCTGTTTATGCTGAAACACCCAAATATATGCAGAAAGGTGCAAGTTGAGATAGATGACGTCATCGGTGGAGGAAGACTGCCAGCGATGGCTGACGCAAATAAGATGCCCTTTACAGAGGCGACCATCATGGAAATTCAACGTTTAGGTGAGCCCGTTGGGTATGATTGCGGACTGCAGGCGAAACGAAGCAGCATTAACCATACGCCTGCTTAACGTATGCTAACATGTAGAATTGCTTACCAATGTGTAGACGTGAACTACGGTTGTCGCCTGCTCTGAAACACAGGCGCCTCGTTGCCCCCGCCACCACATTTCTAAGCTACGATATATGATCGTCTTTATTTATAGGTAATATCGTACCACTCGGAGTTCCTCATGCCACGTCTGAGCAAATCGAATTCAGAGGTTACACAATACCAGCGAACACTACTGTCATGTCAAATATCACCGCTGTCATGATGGATCCGACCTACTTCCCAAATCCGGAAAGGTTTTGTCCTGAGAGATTCCTGGACGAGAATGGAAGGGTCATTAAGAACGAAGCCTTGATTCCATTCTCCGTCGGTAGGTGAAGCAGTTTTCAATCGGTGTTAAATATAGCATTCTTTAGCATGATGAAAGTTTTCGTACAGAAATGAATTCCGTCCAATTGTGTTACGCGAGAAGTTAACAATTCATAAATAGTGTCCTAATTTTACCTACTGCTCCTGCCACGAAGATGTATGTTAATGGCAATGTGTGGTTAATACAGGACGGCGAGTGTGTTTGGGGGAATCTCTGGCCAAAATGGAACTGTTCCTGTTCTTCACAAGCATCCTGCAGAACTTCGACGTTAAGCTACCAGATGGCGTGATGGAGCCATCATTTGAAGGCATTTTCGGAGCCACATGGATGCCTAAACCACATAAGATTTGTATCTGTGCACGAGAATGACGAATTTAGATGGAAAA